CTTGAATATATCCCACCTGAATTCAGAGATCATATGAAGAACAGATTTGATACATTAAACACTAAAGACCAAAGACCAGAAGAGTTGTGGGATGACATCAACAACATCATACATTAAGAAAGCAAAGTCATTAAGAAGACAAGAAAGAAGGAAAAAGTCAAAATGGATGCCAGAAGAGACACTGAAACTTGCTCTCCAGTGCAGCACTACTAAAGCAAATGGAAGAAATGAGAAGGTCCAAGAGCTGAACAAAAAATTTCAAAGATCAGTTCAAGAAGATAAAGCCAAATATTACAACAAAATGTGCAAAGACTTGGAATCAGAAAACCAAAAAGGAAGAACACACGCAGCATTTCTCAAGCTGGGGGAACTGAAGAAAATATTTAAGTCTCGACTTTCGTTATTGAAAGATTCTCTGGGCAAATTATTGAATGATGCAGAGAACATCAAGAGAAGATGGAAGGAATACACAGAGTCACTGTACCAAAAGGAAATCGTTAATGTTCTACTGTTTCAAGAGGTAGCATATGTTCAAGAGCCAATGATACTGAAGGAGGAAGTCCAAGGTGCATTGAAGGAATTGGCAAAGAACAAGGCACCTGGAATTGATGGAATAAAAATAGAAATATTTCAAGAAAGTGAGGCGGCACAGGAGGCACTCACTCACCTCTGCCAAGAAATTTGGAAGACAAATATCTGGCCAACTGACTGGAAGAGATCCATATTTGTGCCCATTCCAAAGAGAGGTGACTCAACGGAATGCGGAAATTATCAGACAATATCTTTGATATCCCATGCAAGTAAAGTTTTACTAAAGGTAATACAGAAATGGCTGCAAGCATACACTGACAGAGAACCTCCAGAAGCCCAGGCTGGATTCAGAAGAGGCCGTGGAATGAGGGATATCATTGCTGATGTATGATGGATCTTGGCTGAAAGCAGAGAATATCAGAAAGATGTTTACCTGTGTGCTTTATTGACCACGCAAAGGCTTTCGATTGTGTGGATCATGACAAACTATGGACAATATTGTGAAGTATGAGTATTCTAGAACACTTTATTGTGCTCATGAGGAATCTGTACATGGACCAAGTTGTTCGAACAGAACATGGGAACACTGAATGGTTTAAAACTAAGAAAGGTGTGAGACAAGGTTGTATTCTTTCGGCATACTTATTCAACCTGTATGCTGAGCAAATAATCTGAGAAGCTGGGTTCTATGAAGAAAAACGTGGCATCAGGCTTGGAGGAAGACTCATAAACAACCTGCAATATGCAGATGAGACAACCTGGCATGCTGAAAGTGAAGAGGACTTAAAACTGATCAAGATCAAAGAGCACAGCGTTCGGTATGGATTACATCTCAATGTCAAGAAAACAAAAATCCTCACCACTGGACCAATAAACAACATTCTTATCAACGGAGAAAAGACTGAAGTTGTCAAGGACTTGATTCTTCTTGGATCAACTATCAACACTCATAGAAGCAGCAGTAAAGAAATCCATCAACATATTGCATTAGGCAAATCTGCTGCACAAGACCTTTTTAAAGTGTAGTAGAGTAAAGATGTCAGCTTGAGGACTAAGGTGTGCCTGACCCAAGCCATGGTATTTTTAATAACCTCATATGCATGCGAAAGTTGGACAGTGAATAAGGAAGACCATAGAAGAATTGATGCTTTTGAGTTATGGTATTGGAGGAGAATATTCAAAGTGCAATGGGCTGCCAAAAGAACCAATAGATCCATTTTGGAGAAAGTACAGTCAGAGTGCTCCTTGGAGGCCAAGATGGCCAAACTTCGTCTCTCATACTTCGGACATATTGTCAGGACGGACCAGTTGCTAGAGAAGGATATCATGTTTGGTAGGGTGGAGGGTTAGAGAAAAAGAGGAAGACCCCCAGGGAGATGGAATGGCCAAGTGGTAGTATCGATGGACTCAAGTGTGGGAACAGTAGTGAGGTTGGCTCAGTATCAGGCAGTGTTTCGTTCTACTGTGCATAGGGTCGCTATGAGTTGGTAATGACTCAATGGCACCTAACAGCAATGCCTAAGGAGCTCTGGTACTGTAGCAGTTATGAGTTGGACTGCTAACCTTAAGGTCAGCAGTCGAAACTACCTACTATTCCGCAGGAGAAGATAAGGCTTTTTGCTCCCACTAAGATTTATAGCCTCAGAAATCCTATCCAGGGTTGCTATGAGTCAGAACCAACTCCATGGCACACTATCACCACCACCACCAATGCCTAGGATATGGATCTTTATTATGCATTCCATTTCCATTTTTGACAACTCTAATTTTCCTAGATTCATACTTCATAATTTCCATGTTGAAATTATTAATGGATGTACACAGTTGTTTCTCCACATTTTTAGCATCCTGAAAGTTTTAGTCTATTCCCGTCTAATCTACTTTGTGGAGGCAGCTCTTTCTCAGTTGTTTTTGAGTATTTATCAACATAAAAGGTTCATTTTCCAGCACTACATCTGACAATATGCTGCTGCTATTCATAATGCTTTCAGTTTTGGGTACTGTATCTGACAATGTTCTGCTACTACTCATAAGGCTTTCAGTGGTTAAACATTCAGAAGCAGTCTGCCTCTGTTTCTTCCTCATCTGTCTTAGTGTGGAAGGTGTCTCCTGAAACCTGTCCACCATGGGTAAACCAAGCGTTTAAGATACCAGTGGCACAGTTTCTAGCGCCACAGCAATAAGTAAGGCACCACAGTACAGCAAACTGACAGATGAGTGGTAGAGAGACAAATATACCAGCTCTAATATATGGCATAAATGAACTATCAAATACTAAGTGAAAACACACACACAGCAGAAGACAAACTAGATGACTGGTACCTCTACTGTGTATCAAAAGATTTCAACAGGAGAGTCAAGACTCTTTGTAGGCATCAACACAAGAAAAGTCAGCCCATCAGGGAAAATTTCCTTTTAGGACTAGTATGCTCACTGGTGATCACCTGGGTCTACTTGTGAGTGAAAGTGGGGGAAGTGCAGCAATCTTCATTGACATGGGTGAGTTTGGCCATGTTCCATTGGTACCTGTTGATCTTGAGATGAAAGAGAGAAGAGGAAGGGCTGGCTGGTCTGAAGTTTAGGAAGATGTATGAATTCCTGAGCCCATGGGTGCAATGTAGCCCCTGGGGGCTAAAGCTGAGAGTCAAGCAGACAGCTGATCTAAAGTGCAGGGAGGTGTGTATGAACTCCCAAACTTGCAGCAAGTATCCATTTGACCTAACTTAGATAGTTACATTAACTATAAGAATGGGGCGGGCTATAAAGGCACAAAGTGGCTAGTTTACAAGCTTTCATGAGTGTATTTGGTTTTAGACTTGGGGGGTGGGGGTAAGGTAGAATCCCCACTGAATAGTTTTCCTCATTTCCAGATGGATCTGGTTAAAGGAGAGGGGGTTATGGTGATAGGATTTTGTGAGTAATTGTTAGCAAGATTAATTGTGACAGTCACAACTGTAATTGTAGAAGATGTGTAGCTAAAGCAGGGAGCAGCTAAACTTTCATTTCAGGAACTGATGATCCCAGGACCATCAAGAAGGGGAGCATGAGATCCCTATCTAGAAAAGCAGCAACAGCAGAGACAATGGCAGAGGCAGTGGCATGGAGAGACAGAGTAGTTTTGGGCTCTAAAACTAAAGTAGTTGTACCATTTTACAGTTCCATCAGTAATAGATGAGGGTTCCTAGCTTTCTACACTATCAACAGCATTTGTTGTATACTGTTTTTTGTTTTTTCTTTTAACTTTGCTATTACTGCTGGCGTGAGATGATATCTTTTGATTTGTATCTTTAGTGGCTAACAGGGATGTTATGGGTTGGAATCAACTCAACAGTACTTAACAACAACAGTGGTAATGATTGTCAACATTTCTTTATGTGTTTGTTGCCCACCTGAGTGTTTTCTTTGATGAGGCATCTGTTCACGTTCTCTGCCCGTGTTTTAATAGAATGATTTGTCTTTCTGTTGTTGAGACCATCTATAAATTGTAGAGCTTTGTCCCTTGTCTAATATGTCATTGCCAAAAATGCTTTACTCTTTTTTTTTTTTTAAACTTTGTATTATGAATTGAGTGACGGTTTGCAGACAAGATCATCAGCTTTACATTAAATAAACGTTTAATACACTTTGTTTCATCTTAATGATTATAATCTCCTGCAACAACAGTTATCCTACTACCAACTACTGCAGAAAACGGTGTCCTGGTGTGGCACTGTGGGTTAATGTGCAAAACTGCAAAACTGTTTGAACTGCAAGGTTGGAGGTTCAAGCTCACCAGCTGCTCCTCGGAAACCCTATTTAGGGTCGCTATAGGTTGGAGGCAACTCGATGGCACTTAACAAAAAACAACTGCAGTAAACAGTTATGTTGCTGCTCTAAAAAGCTGTAAATAGAAAATAGAAATGCCATATACTTTTTATATATCCTAGAGAAGTAAAAGCTGTGACTCTAATATATATGGTTGTTGGCAAGCGCCACTGAGTTGGTTCTGATTCACAGGGAACCTGTATAGGAGCGGCTAGTAAGTCTGAACCACAGATAGCAGTTCAAAAGACCCTGTAGTTTAGTACATTATTCCATAATACCACATCAGGACTCCCCAATATATAAATATATATATTTATATCTATATATGGCACCTGTTTTCATAACAGAACTATCCACAATAGAAAAAAGATAGAAACAACCTAATGCTCATCAATGGAAGAATGGGTAAACAAACTATTGTTGTTGTTGTAAGTGCCATCGAGTCAGTTCCAACCCATAGCGACCCTGCATAGGGTTTTCAAGGAGTGACTGGCGAGCCTGAACTGCCGACCTTGCAGTTCAAATGACTTTGCAGTCTGGCACATTAACCCACAACGCCACACCAGAATTACCTAAAAACAATTGAATACTTGTCATTGCTTTTGTTAAGTGACACCAAGTCAGGTTCCAACCCATAGCGACCCTGTATAGGGTTTCCAAGAAGTGGCTGGTAAGCTTCAGGCATTCCATAATTTTATCCTTAAAAGTTTTATGAAGATGTAGATCTAAGCATATTAATATTTTCACATTTTATACTTTAAATATTTTTATACTGCCTGATCTTCCTTCTTGAAATAATATTACTTTTGGGATTAAGATTTTAAAAATTAAGAAAATAAGGAAAAATCAATAAACTAAGTATGTTGTGATGCCTTTTTTTCCAGCAATTATTGAACAAGGTACTTGTTCTAAGTATTTGAATCCATCATTACATTTAAATACATAAGAATTCTGAGATGTTATAAATACACACATTTCATCCAGAGAGGCTGAGAAGCATACTCGAGCCACACAGCTAGAACGTAGATTTAAAAATCTGCACATGAACAAATTATGCAAAATTCGACACACTTATCAGAAAACTTTCCCAATTATGCACTTTAAAGCAACAAGGTAACACAATTTATGCCTTGCTCACCCTGAAGGTCTAGGTGAGCCGGATGTGCTCCGCAAAGAATTTTCCACTCGAGGACTGGCCACTTCAGGAGGCTGAGGAGGAATGAGTGTTTTCCGAACTGCCATTCTGAGAGACAGACAAATGAGGAAAGAGGAGTCAAAGAGCATCAGAGGATAAGCAGACAACACATTCATGTGCCAAGCATACCTATGGCAAAGAAAAGCACTATATTGGCTATGTATATTCTAAATTATTTTATCAAAATAACACATGCTCATTATTTAAGAAGCAAAATAGCATTAAAAGGCATTCAAGGTCACTGCTCTATCCCTCCTTACTTCCTGCCAGTCTCCTTCCAGAAAGCAACCAGCTGCTGCTTCTAACATGCCACATCTCTTTACATATTATGCATATACTATTAATTTTGATTACTCAATTTTTGACATTCATTATCTATTAGGGTTGTTGTTGTTAGGTGCCTCTGAGTCAACGGTATTAGTGACCCTATGCATAACAGAATGAAACACTGTTTGATCCTGTGTCATATTCATAATTGTTAAGTTTGAGTCCACTGCTGCTGCCATTGCATCAATCCATCTCATTGGGTCTTCCTCTTTTTCACTGATCCTCCACTTTACCAAGCATGATGTTCTTCAGGGACTGGTTCCTTCTGATAACATGTCCTAAGTATGAGAGATGAAGTCTTGCCATCCTGGCTTCTAAGGAGCATCCTGGCTGCATTGCTTCCAAGACAGATTTGTTTGTTCTTATAGCAGTCCTTGGTACTTTGAATATTCTTCTCCAACACCATAATACACATGTATCGATTCTTCTTAGTTCACTGCACAACTTTCACATGAATATGAGGCTAAGGAAAATACCACGGCTTTAGTAAGGGGCACCTTAGTCCTCAACCTGACATTTTTGCTTTTTAATATTTCAAAGAAGTCTTTTACAGCACATTTGCCTAGCGCAATATCATTTGCTTTCTTGACTGCTGTTTCCATGAATGTTGATTATGGAAACAACAACTTCAATATTTTCTCCATTTATCATGATGTTACTTATTGTTCCCGTTGTGAATACTTTTATTTTCTTTGCATTGAGGTGCAATCCATACTGATGGCTGTAGCCTTTGATCCTAATCAGTCAATATTTTAAATTCTCTTTGCTTCCAGCAAGCAAGGCTGTATCACCTGCATATTGCATGTTGTTAATGAGTCTTCCTCCTATTCATATGCCACGTTCTTCTTAATATAAAATCCATATACAGAATGAACAAGTATGGTAAAAGGATACAACCCTGGGGCATACCTTTCCTGATTTTAAATCATTCAATCCCTCCTTGTTCTGTTTTAATACTTGCCTCTGGGTCTATGCACAGGTTCCTCATGACCACAATAAAGTGTTCTGAAATATCCACTGTTCGCAATGTAATCTAGTTTGTCACGATCCACACAGTTGAAAACCTTTTCATAGTCAATAAATCACAAGTAAATATCTTTCTGGTATTCTTTGTTTTCAGCCACTATTCATCTGATGTCAGCAATGATGTCCTTCTTTCCACATCCTATTCTGATCCAGCTTTAATTTTGTGCAGTTCTGTCAAATGTACTGCTGCAACAGTATTTGAATGATCTTCAGCAAAATTTTACTTACATGTAATGTTAATGATATTGTTCAATGTTTTCCACATTCTGTTGTGTCACCTCTCTTTGGAATGGAAACAAATACATGTCTCTTCCAATTAGCATACATGAGTGAACACTACCTACCAGTACTGGAGCATTTTGTTGAAAGATTTCAATTTGCATTCTGTGCAATCCCAGAACCTTGTTTCCCGCCAGTGCCTCAGTGCAGCTTGGACTTGTTCTTTTGGTATCATCAGTTCTTGATCATATGGTACTTCTTGAAATAGCTGAACATCAACCTTTTTTTTTTTTTAAGTACAGTGACTCCGTGTATCTTTTCATTATACTTATTCTGTCTATATACTGATCAAATCATCTGAGAAGCCGAATTATTTCTTTCGATGCTTTCTGTATCATTCTATATTTTACCATTCCTTCAATACTGTAAGCTGAGGTTTGAATTTTTCCTTTGGTTCTTTCAGCTTGAGAAATATTTAGCATATTTTTCTCTTTAGGTTTTCTAACTCCACGTCTTTGCATACTTCATTATAATAGTCGACTGTTCTTTTAGAGCTACCCTTTGAAATTTTTTGTTCAGCTTTTTTACTTTCTCATTTCTTCCATTTGTTTTAGCTACTCTATGTCCAAGAGCAAGCTTCAGAGACTCTTCTTAAAATCATTTTTGCCTTTTCTTTCTTTCCTGTCTTTTTATTGGCCTTTTGCTTTCTTCCTGTATGATGCTGATGTCATGGCACAACTCTTCTGGTCTTTGGTCACTAGTGTCTAACCCATCAATCTTATCTGTTCTTGAGATAGTCTCTAAATTCATGTAGGATATATTCAAGGTCATATTTTGGTTCTCGTGGCCTTGTTTTAAAGTTTCTTCAGTCATTAAGGTTGATGAGGATTATAATGCGACCACCGCCTTTGCTTCCCTCATCTTCCCAATATAGCAATATTATAATTTAAACATATATATGCATTTATAGGAGTCCTGGTATGGTGTTGCAAGATAAGCACAGGACAGCAAGGTAGGTTTGAAGCACAAGGTTGTTGTTGCTGTTAAGTGCCCTCGAGTTGGCACCGATTCATAGCGACCCTATGCACAGTAGAACAAAACACTGCCTGATCCTGGGCCAACCTCAGTACTGTTGCCACGCTTGAGGCCATTGATGCTGCCACCTGGCCAATCCATCTCATTAGGGGTCTTCCCCTTTCTCTCTGACCCTCCACCTTACCAAACATGACATCCTTCTCCAGTGACTGGTCCTTCAGACAATATGTCTGAAGTATGAGAGACAGAGTCTGGCCATCTTGGCCTCCAAGGAGCACTCTGGCTGCACTTCTTCCAAAATGGATGTATTGGTTCTTTTGGCAGCCCATGGCACTTTCAATATTCTCCTCCAACACCATAACTCAAAAGCATCAATTCTTCTATGGTCTTCCTTATTCACTGTCCAGCTTTCACATGCATGAGGTTATTGAAAATACCATGGCTTGGGTCAGGCACACCTTAGTCCTCAAGCTGACATCTTTATTCTTCAACACTTTAAAAAGGTCTTGTGCAGCAGATTTGCCTAATGCAATATGTTGATGGATTTCTTTACTGCTGCTTCTATGAGTGTTGATAGTTGATCCAAGAAGAATCAAGTCCTTGACAACTTCAGTCTTTTCTCCGTTGATAAGAATGTTGTTTATTGGTCCAGTGGTGAGGATTTTTTTTTTTCTTTACATTGAAATATAACCAATAACGATGGCTGTGCTCTTTGATCTTGATCAGTAAATGTTTTAAGTCCTCTTCACTTTCAGCAAGCCAGGTTGTCTCATTTGCATATCGCAGGTTGTTAATGAGTCTTTCTCCAATCCTGATGCCATGGTGTTTTTTTTTTCATATTATTTGCTCAGCATACAGGTTGAATAAGTATGGTGAAAGAATACAACCTTGTCTCACACCTTTCTTAATTTTAAACCATTAAGTGTTCCCATGTTCTGTTCAAACAACTGCCTCTTGGTCCAGGTACAGATCAAACTCACCAGACACTCCTTGGAAACCCTACACTGGGTCACTAAGAGTTGAAAATGACTTGATGGCACTTAACAACAACATGTGTTTATAACCATTAATATGCTTAAGCATTTATACATAGTTGAGGTAGTTTCTGAAATGCAACTGAAAAATAATTTATTAATCAAGGATTAAGTGTTCAATTGTGAGGGAAGTGAATTTACTTAGCATAGCTTTGCTATCCTTGGCCCTGGTAACTCATACTCTAACACAAGGATTGGTTAGTTTTGTCATTTCAGAAAGAGAAACAGAAAGATCTGAGGACCATCAAGAAAGACGAGCCATGAGTGAACATGAGATTCCCTGCCTGATAGCAAAGGAAGCTGCATGGAATGACAGAGTAGCAGGGCTTTCCGACCTGGACAGAGTAAAGGTAAGTGTTTTCAGACAATAGGCTGTCTTGCAGAATGTGCCTCTTTGGACATTTATCCAAAGTGCTAAAGATTTGTACTACTTGTCTGAGAAGGACAGAGGTCAAGGGGCCACAAGCTGAGAGGATGAAGACCAGAGAGAGGCATGCCTACGGCAAGGATGAGAAGAGGCAATCATGAACGGAGAAATGCTATACTGAGAGTTGTCTGAACCTAAATTGTACCATTAACTTCCTTAATAAACCCCATCATAAGTACTGTCTGTGAGTTCTGTGTGGCCAATGCAAGAGATTATCAAACCCAGCAGAAAAATAGAGGTGTGGGAGGAGTGTTTGGTATCAGGATAGGGTAAAGAAAGGAGAATGCAGGCATGTCTGACCTCTGCTGATGTGGAATTGGATTCTTCTTCCCCCTTGTGAAGCTGGAGGTCAGACATGATAACTGTGACATTTTGAAAAATGTATCATATTACTGCTGTTACTGTTGAGTTGATTCTGACTCATGGTAATCCCATATGTGCAAAGTACAAATACTCCACAGGATATTCAAGGTTGTGACCTTTAATAAGCAGATCAACAGGTCTGTCTTCTGAGGTATCTGTAAGTGAATTTGAACTGCCAACTTTTTGGTTAATAGTCAAGCATTAGTTAATATTATAGTGAGGCCAAGTAAAGCTAGAACTGAAAATTAACCATTGAGTTTAGCAACATGGAAGCAGGCTTAGAGCGGTGAGGGCAAATGCCAGATGAGAGTGAATTTGAATGAAACTGGCTAGGACTAGAATATACCATTTTTCAATTCCTAAAAACTAATCTTATGGTTGGTTATGACTTGGAACACTGTGATCCATTAAGATTTTCATTGATTTTAGGAGTAGATCTCTCCAGATTATTTCCTTCTATTAATTCAGAAGTTTCACTGAAATTTGTTCAGCCTTAATGCAACACACAAGACCCTGCTGAAAGATGGGGTGGTGGTTGCACATGCAGTATACTGGAAATCAAATGCAGAACTTCTGCGTGCAGGCAATTCTACCATCCGTACTCCGAACTAATCATG